AAAAAGATATTAGTCATCTCAGTAGAAATTATAAAGTCAACTCACATGTATTTATAAAAATAAATCCTTATCAAATTAGGAATGACCTTAATCTAATAAAAAGAATCAAAAAGTATAATAAAATATATACTTAGCTACATGTTGAAAATTTTCCAGAGATTAGGCATGAAATAAGAATATTCACTATTACCATTTCAATAAATGCAATACTTGATTTACTAACCAGTGCAGAAAGGAAAGAATAAAAATAAATGTAGTTATTGGAAAGTTTCCAGATAGATAATTGCTATCATTGTATTATCCCTTAATCAAAACCGATCTTGGAGTCAAACCGGTTTTAATAACCTCATATATTTCCTTAATTACTATGACATTTTTGGTTCTATATAACTTTTCTTTTTCTACATATATAACATTTTCACCTGAAATTTAGAAAGTTATTTGAAATATGTTGGGGTTGGAGAGAAGAGGAAAGAAAGTAGGAGTAGAAAAATTATGAGTCCCTGTTTAATATGATTATTTAAGCCCCTTTCATTGATATTTTACTTATTGCTGCCATTTTATTTATCACTTTTTATTGTTTCCCTTTAATTAAATACATATTTTACTAGAGTATTTTTGTTCACCATTTACTATAATTAACTTTCTCTTCTAAGTCTCTAATTCTGATTCTTCTGTTTATTTGTTACTCCCTCTTTGACTGGAGTATTTCCTCAAATAATGTTTCCAGAAATAATGCTTGTGTTACCTACTTTTGAGTCTTTCTTGTTTAATTATGTTTAATATTGCTGTGTTTTTGGATTATGGAGACATGATCTCTTTTAATCAGATACCTATACATTTTACTTTATATTCTTCTATCACTTTATGTTGAAGCTAAGAAGTCCTCCAATCAAATTTAAACACAACTTTCCCATCACTCTCAACTTTATTTTGAAATTTGTTAGATATTGATATTTTCCTTATTGCTGCCATTTTATTTATCACTTTTTATTGTTTCCCTTTAATTAAACACATATTTTACTAGCATATTTTCGGTTGAACAAAACTAATGTGAATTGGCTGTGGTTGTCTTTAACCACAGGATTCACATTACTTCAAGGTATACCTGGTGTCAAGGTAGGTGCCTTCTTTCACTATCAGTACCTTTGTCTGACATTAATACAGTCCTTTGAATTTGAGGAATCCGTACTATTTGTTTTCCTTTCTTATATTTTCATCATAAGTTCCATTCATTTGTTTGAATTTCTGTTTTATACATATTGTATTCTGTATCCTGTCTGTCATAATTTCCAGTTTTTAATTTTTTGCTCTACATTTAAAATAATTCTTCACATTAATTTTCTAATCAAGTGAATGTGCTTTTTAGCAGTGATGGACCTGTCATCCAGTGCTTATACTGAGTTGACTTTTAAGTGTGACTTTTACTTGTTTTAAGCAATATTTTTTTTTCACTCTGTCCCCTTTTCCTAGCAGTTTATTTTTATCATATGCATATAATAGTTTCTCAAATCTCTTTGAAAATAAAGTAAAACTGTCTTTTGTTTTATGCATATATGTTAATACCCTGGTTTATTTTATTTAATTGCTCAATTTTCTTATTTAAATTGTTATTTTTCTTCAAACATTTGTTCTTATTCTTTGAGGCAGAGATAACTTGGGTTGACAAGAAGTGACCTTTGTTGTACTCAGTGCATAATCTGTATGTACCAATTGCTATTCCTGTACTAGGATTTTGTTAAAATAGCCAAATTCCTGACTTACTCACTGGCTTTGCTTATGCTTCTACCACAGCAGTAAGGAACATTGTGTCACTGTTCATGGAAATTTGGGAAGGAGATTTTCAGGAGTCAGGGTATGTGGTAAAATTTCACGACTGAGAAGACTGATTTTCCACAATTTCTTGGGGATTTCTGCAGTTAGCTGGGGAATGTCCCCTTCTTTATCTTGCCCTGACATCAAAAGAAGTAATTATGCACTGACCTCTTGTTTTCCTAGTGTGAGTTTGGAATGAAATGATGCTTAGGGACAGAGCAACGAACGTAACCTGACTCACCTTTAATTTCTCCTGTTCTGAACTAGGAAGGGGTGATGGCTTATTCGTGGTTGTCCAGAATAAACATCTTTGCTTACTTCTGGGCAGCTTCCTCTTTGCCTTCATGGAATTGCCCATTATTCAATGCGTTCAGAGCTCACTCCCTCCATATATTCCAGAATTTCCTCAAATTCTCTGATAATTCACTGTTTTGTTATTCTTAGATTTTAACATTTTCTCAGGATAGAAGATAAACATCCAGCTCAGAGTCATTCTAAAATGAGAAAAATAATAAATACATGTCTAGTGAATGGGTTCACATAATGTTTGGGAGAGCAAAGCATCTGAGACAATGAAAATATATTGTCTGACTTACATTCCTAACATGTGTTCATTTGTGGACTTGTGAATCTACTGCAAACTGTAAAAAGCAAGCTTCTTATACTTGTTCAAAAATGTATTTTTATGACATACTTAAAATTGTATCATTCACACTACATTTAGCTGTTTTCAGAAGAAAATAAAGTTAGATTGGCAAATTAAGAGAACTAAAACAGATTATACCTAAGTTAGGCATGCCCGAGGAAAAAGGTTTACAAATGCAGCTTATGTTTTGAAACGAATGAAGGACCAGAGAACTGAATTCACTTAACTACAGGCAAGTGAGTGGTTTCTATAGAAACAGAAATAAACTGATTTGGATTGAGAGAAAAAATATTTGCAGCTAGATCACCCACAAGGAAGGAAATTTTTGTGTGGCATTTCCTGCCATCTTCTGTTTGCACTCTGAGAATAAAAAAAAAATGGAAGACATGTTCTGGGTATTAAAAAGATGACATGAGTAAAACTTGGATGTTTTTATTGCCTAAGATTTATAGAAAATTGTTCTAAATATAACTATTAGCTGAGATTTCATGGAAAACACTTCACTAAAGACTTGAAGTGTACAATAAGTTTGGGTAACACCTCCATCTTATGTAATGTCATGTGTCAATTATATCTCAGTAAACACAGTGGGGTGGGAGGGAATAAAATGCTTTCAACTGTCAACGGTCAAGTATACCCCACAGTGTCACTAACTATAGTCACCCTATGGGATATTATATTCCCAGAACTTACCCTTCTTATAACTGGAAGTTTGTACCATTTGACAAACGGCTTTCATTCCTCCATCCCCCAGCTCCTGGATGCACCAATCTGCTCTCTGTTTCCATGAGTTTGGCTCCTCTAGATTCTGCACGCAAGTGAGATCATGCAGTATTTGTCTTCAGCTGTCCAACTTATTTCCCTTAACAAAGTGCCCCAGTTTCTTCCGTGTTGTTTCAAATGGTAGGATTTTCACTTTTATGGCTGAATAATATACCCTTCTGTATCACATTTATTTTACCATTCATCCACTGACTGACACGTAGGTAGCTTCCAGGTCTTGCCTATTGTGAATAGTGCTGCAGTGAACATGGGGGTGAAATTATCTTTTCCAGATAATGATTTCATTTCACTTGGATATATACCCTAAGTAGGATTGCTAGATCATACGGTAGTTCTGTTTCTAAGTCTTTGAGGAACTTTCACACTGTTTTCCCTAGCGGCCATACTAATTTACATTTCCATCAACGGTGCACTAGTGTCCATTTTTCTCCATGTCCTTGTCAACACATGTTATGTCTTTTCTTTTTATGTTTTTACCCACCCCCCACCCTAACCCTTCCTTTGGCAAACATCAACTTGTTCTCTATATCTACGGGTCTGTTTCTGTTTTGTTCTATTTATTCTTTCGTGGTTATTTTTAGATTCAACATATAAGTGAAATTTTATGGTATTTGTCTTTGTTTGAGTTATTTCACTTAGCATAGTATCCTTCAGGTTCATCATGTTGTCACAAATGGCTAGATTCCATCCTTTCTTATTGCTGAGTAATGTTCTACTATATCTTTTTTGTCTTCTTTACCCATTCACCTATTCATAGACATCCACATTGCTTCTACATCTTGGTTATTTTAAGTCATGCTGCAGTAAACATAGAAATGTGCATACTTTTTCAGATTAGTGTTTTGTTTTCTTCACATAGATACCCAGAAGTGGAATTGCTGGGTTGCTTGGCCACTTTATTTTTAATATTTTGAGGCATTTTCATACCATTTTCCACAGTGGCTGCACCAGTTTACAGCTCCATTAACAGTGCACAAATGTTCTCTTTTCTCCACGTCATCAACAGCATTTGTTATTTGTTGATTTTTTGATGACTGCCTTTCTGACTGGTGTGAGGTGATATCTCTTTATGGTTTTAATTTGCATTTCCCTGTTGATTAGTGACATTGAGATTTTTATGTACCTGTTTGCCATTAGTATGTCTTCTTTGGAGACATACATGTTGTTTGACCAATTTTTAAAAAAATCTGATTATTTATTTGTTATTGAATTATTAATGTGTTTCATGTATTTTTCATGTTAACTCTTTATCAGATATAAGACTTGCAAATATTTTTCCCATTCCATAAGTTACTTTTGCATTTTGTTGGTTGTTTGTTTTGCTATACAAAAGCTTTTTAGTTTAATTCACTCTTTTTTAGTATTTTACAAGCATTGCATTTATTGTGAGGAAGTCTTTTAATCTCCATAATCATAGTCATCTTTTAATAAATATCAGGGACACAGTCTCACAGTCATGACCCAGGAAATATAATTTAGGATTAATTTTCTTTCAAATTAAAACATTCCTCTGATGAGCTGCCCAGTGGAATAAAGTTGCATTCTCTGACAGTCGTTAGCCCCTCCCAGCTGATCTTTTGTACACAAGAATGTGAATGTGAACTTCTAATACCACATTTCTAAAAGCATCTCTCTGCAGCCTTCCCTATGTCCTCACTTAGCCCATGTTACATTTCACTGTAGCCTCCCAGAGATGGGGATAGTGCTGCTATCACTTAAAGGCAGCAAGATATCTTCAAGAAAAACAACTCTAAAATTCATCCATCCTACTGAAGTCAGTTGCTTAGGAAAAGCATGATGCGGAAAACTTCTTAGAGAACCAGCTCTGGATCTTTTGTCTCTTGGATTTCCAAGTGAAAATAATTACTGGAGAGCCTAGAGTTATTACTGATTCCAATACAGTGATTTTTCTCCCTCCTATGATTTCTAAAACTTCAGTAGTGTAACCTTTGATTTCCATAGCTTTCCATGAATTTTGCAATGTCAACAGTGAAGTTTGAACTGGATTATCTTTCTTCTGAAGGCTTCAGACATGAGCACGCTTCCAACTCAGATCTTACTTTAACCTCTTTGACTGAACTCTCTGCTGATTCTAGTCAATTGGAACTTCAACACTCCACTGTTGTCCCCACTGGTAAGCTAAACTTTATATTGATATTTTTTAGTATATTAACTTAGAGCTGTACTTCCATAATATCAGATATGTAAAAAATAAATCATGATGACACTTACTTTGTGGTGTTGTAGCTGATGTGAATTTTAACTTTTTGAATTATTTCCCCCCCAAAAATACATAAATCAATTTTTAAAAAAGGCACAGAGGGTTTTGCCAATGCAGTGAAATTCAGTGAACCCAGAAAACTATTCATAGTGAAGTAGATTTTGTTTATTTGAATGCTCCAGCCTTTTAAGGCTGAGTTTTGTTTGGGATGACTGATAAAATTAGGAATTTTATTTATAAACTGCAGAAAAAAAGTTTTGTCATCTTCCATTTATCTATTATATCTTATTTTTCATGATTATATGGAATATATTATGTTCTTTAACTTCTTATTAAGAACATAAGCCAGGCAGTGAAAGACAAATACCATATGATCTCGCCTTTAATTGGAACCTAATCAACAAAACAAACAAGCAAGCAAAATATAACCAAAGACATTGAAATTGAGAATAGGCTGACAGTGACCAGAGGGGAGAGGGGAGGGGATAATGGGGGAAAAGGGTGAAGGGTTTACAGGAACAATGATAAAGGACACATGGACAATAACAAGGTGGGTAGAAACAGGGGAAGGAGGTAGGGAGGACTGGGGATGTGGGGAGAGGGGGGAGGGCAGAAAACTATACTTGAACAACTAAAACAAAACAAAACAAAACAAAACAAGAGAATATTCCTTTTGGCTATGTTATTTTATGACCTGACTTAAATTCCGTATCAGATGGCAGTATTGATAGATTTCAACGTGAAGAATTTCTATTTTGACACCTACAGTGTTATGTATCCAGAATTGCAGTTTTCACTCTTGCTCAGCAAAGTTGGGTAAATAATGATACACACTAGTAGTTTGCAGTTATCAAAAAGTTCTGAGAGTTCGGTTGATAATGAACAACTATGATAAGCCAACAATGAATTAATTATACTTTTCAGGAGAATTTTATGTAATCAAAAATTAATATGTTAAATGCTATTCAAAAGGCAAAACTTTGTTATTATATAATTGTTTATCTTTTCTCATAAAAAAGACAGTAGGATGTGAAAGTGAAAGTTAAACAAGGAATTTATAGCTCTGGATGTTACTAGACATTAAATTTTGTCTGATGGAAAGTATTTATAAGAAAAATGAATTGCATTTTGCAACCAGAGAATTCTTCTAACAGAATTTAGCATACTTATTTACTTTTATATATTTGAAATGAAGTTTTATGTGACTCCCAACCAATAGCTGATTTGTTGCTTATAGATTCTTTTGTATTATATGACTAACTTTACAATATCAGCAGTTATATAAACAGGAGATATCACACCCTTTTGTATCAGTAAGAAAAGAGATCTCTATGTTATTATTACTATTTTTGCACCTACAATTTAATAAAGTGGACAAGTCACCTCTTTATAAATGAGAATAGCTTATTGCAGTAGATTTAGGCAGGAAAAAGAGGTTTATAAACAAAGTATTATAAATGTCATTTGCCAATGTCGTCATGATTTAAATACCTATGTTCTTTTAACCTTGTTTTTTCTTCAATTTATCTCTGTCTCTGAACATCTATTTCAACAGACTCAACAGCTGTCTTTATGCAGCTCACCTGCACATCTGCAGCTTAGGTATAAATTCTTCACCAGAGCCTGGAAGACACTTTTACCTCAATATCCTGGCACTGCCTCAGATTCAACACAAATAAGCTAAACTCCCTAGAAATGCCTCTTCCTTCTTACATTCTTATTTTTGTCAAAAACCTCTAAATCATCTCTAACATCCCTTAGCATTTACTGCAATATAAATTTCATGTTTATGTGTATGCATATTAGTTTAATATTTGTCTTTTCTACCTCTTTGTCCACCTCTATCATCTCATCATTCAACAGGGTGTCTGAATATAAAGGTTATTTATGTTTTGACTCATGTCCTCCTGGCTAAGAGACTGAAAGATTAGCCTCCTTCAAATCCCATAGTGAATGCAACTGTATGGGCTTCAAACTAATCTTACTTCCAAGGTTTCCATTACATCTCTTGCCCACTGATGGCCACACAGTCCTCAGTCAGCACACAGTCCTCCACAAGCATAAGGCTAACTCATTCCTGCCTTTGGTTTGCAGTTTCTACAACTCTGTGTGACCTGGGTTATAAGCCTGATGATCTATGATCTATATCTGTTTTTGTTTTTTCCAAAACTTTTTGCATCCTCATGTGACCTGCACATATCCTGCAAGCATGAGTTATACCCCCAATCATTGTTCAGATTACTTCAAAGTAATTTCCAATATTTCCCTTGCTTCTATTGATTAAGATCTCACTGAGATAAAATAATTTTTTATTCCCAAATACCTGCGGTTAACTCAAATGTCTACAAAATGTTTGCCCTGTATATTCAAAGCCTCACATTCTAATTTTTGTTGTAAATACATATGCCTGTAGCTCCTCTCCTATGAGGTCACATTTCGTGAGGATAATTGTCCCTTCATAATTGTTTGTGCCTATGAATAATACACATGTAATACATAGGATTAGCTAAATGATCAAATGTAATTTATTTTTTAATGACTTTTATGTAAAGGAAGTATTTGTTTAAATCAGGTTACACATATATTTTACCTGCAAAAATATTATTTTGAAATTATCACACAATTTGTTACCTGACAGTTCCATTGTGCAGGTTAGCGCCATTGTGGGATTTGTCCTTCATTTGAAATTGTTACGGAGCATTGTATATTCTAGAATCTTTTCTGCATGCTAGATCTTTTTGCCCTATTTCCCATAGAGTTAAGGTTGTATGAATGCATACAAAATACACTACCTAAATATCTGTGATTGAGGGCTAGGGGCTAGGATCTATATGAAAATGAAAATGAGGTGATCGAGCTATGTTCTTTCTGTCTCAGTGGTGTGGTGGTAGCTATTTAACATGCATGTGCACATCTTTCTAGTATGGAAAAATAAAACAGAATAGATGAATGTTAGTCCATAAAACATTTAGCATGCCCTTGTAAGAAGAAATATATTTCATTGCCAGCAAAACAGTATTTATAACTTTCACTTATACAATACCTTGAAGATAACTCATACCTACAGAATCTCAATAGTTCTCAGAAGTTGTCAATGAGATAAAGTTCATTTATCTTTTATTCAGTAGAAGGAGAATCCAAAGACCAGGAAAGTAATACAGTTGGAACAAAGTCACATACATGTAGTGTGTGTGTGTGTGTGTGTGTGTGTGTGTGTGTGTGTGAGGAGGTGGTGTCAGAGACAGGGATAATTGAGGAGCTCTTAATCTATTTTCTGCCTCTAAATTTAGTATTCATCTTTCTCCTCAATACCACTTGGAAATTAAGTTTTAAATCAGTCATGCAGGGAGCAAATGCTTCTTTGTCTTCCAAAAATGGATTTTATCAGTAATCAGTAATAAGAATATAAATATCTTGACTAGGTTCTGGAACACGCTTTCAATAACTTTTAAGGCCATGACTAAATAGATCACGATCTATCAACATGATCGTCAGGGTCATTATCATCATCACTGCGGCATTGATGATACGCACATATATATATATATCAGTTTCTGAGTATCATGCAGTGTTCAAATGTTTTATATATGTAAGCATATAATGTGTTATATAGACATGGCATACATAAACATATAATTTCATATATGAAGATGTAATGTGTTTATATATAAGATAGTAATGTATATGTATATTTATATTTATATACTTTTTAATCCCCCACATTCAGCCCTATAAAGAATTAGGTAACATTATTATTTCCATATCAAAGTATAAGCCAATCAACTAATATTGCCTAGTCTTTTAAGAAATTTGAAGTGGGACAGTGGGTCACTCCCCACCATGAGATCAGTAGTCCGCGTGTTTGGCACATGTGTGACACTGTTCCTTATGACCAGCATGAACAATAAGAATAAAAATATTTGTGCATAAATGCAAAGAGTTCTTACCAATGATACATATATATATTTATAAAGTCTATATATCTTCAATTCCCTGAAATGATCTATTATGTACCTATCATTCATCAAAACTTTTTTGGACCTAATTATGTTTTTGATTTCCATGAGTTTTTGGTAACTAGCTCTTTTAGAAGTTTAGAGGCTCCCATATAAAGAAGCTAATCACTTGTTTAGGTTAGGTTAGTATAATATTGCAGAATGAGTGGATGACTTCTGTCTGAAGATGTCCTGGGGGCAATTTTAAAAGTTGTCCCTTTTTCTTGTTTGCAGTGTCTGCCTCTATGGATGTTTGATTCTTAGTTAGGCTGAATTACTACTGTAATTCATACTGTGTCTTTACATCTATTTTCTATATACTTTATGCTTCTGAATGCTTCTATGGCTTTTTTCAGCTTCTCAAAGACCCTACTTATCATTTTTATCTTCCATGAATTAGTGCTATTCTAGTCCTAAATTAAAGTGTTGTTGCATGATGAAGTATGACATTCCTTTAGAATTTAAGTACCTCCATAAAATTAGATAATCACCATTTAACAAAAAAAAATATTTTATTATTTAAAAAATTGTTTTGTTAGTTATCCCAGTACCAACAAATGAAAATAAGCCAGTACCAACAAATATCAAATTGGACCAATAGCATACATATTTAAACAACATTGACATAATTCACGTGGATACTGATATAACTACTTTACATTGGTGCTAAATATAAAATGCTAATTTGAAAGAATTCAAACCATTTGGTTTTTCATCTGTTTTTCCTTTTAAAATGGGTATGTTCCACTGGTAGTTGTATAACATCCAATTACCAAAAACAAAGATGCTATGTTTCATGATTGTTTGTTCATCACATTTCACATTAAATAAGTATCTTCCCTCAAAGAATTTCTTGGCATCATGCCTCCTGATACCAGATGACTTTGGTATCTACTCTGCTGAAGTACAGCTGAGTCA